ATCTCAGAAATGATCTAATGAGCACCGGTGCTCATCTAATCTTATGCACCGATGAGTTGACACATTAATTCATTGGTGGATAAGTCGACTGTGGCCTAATAACAGTCGGACAGTCAGATCTGGACCAACTGTGGCCCAAGTGACAGTCGCCCAGATCCGTGAGTGAGAGCTTTTCTTTTGACAAAGTGAGGGTATTTTTAACATTTTTCATGTAAAGCTATATTTTTATTTATTTATTTTTTAATTCTATTTCCTAATCAAAAGGTTAGTTTGGAAATACACAACAAGGAAAAATGTTATTTCAATGTATTTCCTCCCAGAATTGTGGATGTAGCAACGTTATATTGAAGTGATCCCATTAGTGCTCAAAGCTCGTGCTTCAATTTCTATGCTTAGCCTTGGCAAGGCATTGCATTGTGAAAACCATTAGGTTAGGAGTGGATATTAATGTAATGGCGGGGAACTTCTTTGATTGATGAGTATGGGAAATGTAGAGATGCAGTAGTGCACGTAAAATGTTTGATTTTATGCCTGAAAGAAATGCTGTGATATGGAATGCGATGATTGGAGGGTATATGAAGAATGGTGACATAAAGTCTGTGAAACTTTTGTTCGAGAAAAATGTCCGTAACTTGGAATGAGATAATTGACGGGTATGCGAAACGTGGCGATATGGTGATGGCAAGACCTGTTTTTGATAATGTGCCAGAGGGTTAAAGACTGTGGTGACTTGGACAGTGATGATTGTTGGGTATGCTAGTGATGGGGATATGGAAGCTGCATGGGAAACTTTTGAGAAAATGAAACAGATGAATTTTTATGTTTGGTCAGTGATGATATCTTGTTATTTTAAGAAGTGTGATGTTGACAAGGCAAGAGGGATTTTTGATAGAATGAGTTTGAGGAACTTGATTATTTGGAATTCGTTAATTTCTGGGTACTTTTAAAATAGGATGTGTGAGGAAGCAACAAAGGCTTTCAACAGAATGCAAGTTGGGCGCTTTGAGACAGATGAAGGTTACAGTGGTCAGTATTTTATCAGCTTGCACTCAGTTGGGATCGTTGGAAATATTTAACTGCCGATGTACAATCAGGCAGGGGTTATAAACGGATTTTGCACGGTGTGTGATGGAGTGCGACGGCATAAAGTTCAATGAGTAATGAGGTGCAAGCGTAAGTTCAGTGAGTGAGACGTGACCTTATCCAAAGTTCGGCGCGTGTTCAAACTATTAACTCATTTTCCATTAGATTAACTCAAAAAATGTGTGCTATCCTATTCAAATCCTTATGGTACCACTTCCATTGAAGACTCGCTGTTGCCGTGATTAGCATGTGAGGTAGCTTTAACTTGAACTGGTAATCTTTACTTGCTCAGACCTAAGAGTGCTAACACCTTTCAACTTGCTAATTTGTCCCACATTGTCACCGATTATCTTGTGGCCGTATTCATTTTATTTTTGCAACTTGCATCATTATGAATTGTTGATAAACGAAGATTTAATTTCTTTCACGAATGTTTTGGTATACTATTTGTGACTAGTACAAATTTGCTCATCTGTGGTTTTTTCGGAAGATTTGTCTTCAAGTAATGTGAGTTTCACCAGAACTGAAGCAGGTAAATAGTTTGGAGATTTTAAACTACTGTAAATCATCGAAAAGGAGAAAAACATACCAAAAGGTATTCTTTTTAGGATAACAGATTTCAAATCAATCTCCATGCTTCCTCGGTTAGCAATTGATATAGGAACCTATAGCAAGAAAGGAACTATAAGACAATGCATCTTTACTTTTTGCGGGGAATTTCTCTGGTAAGTCCTAAAGTTGTTGGTCAAAACAGCCTGCTATCATGGAATGAGACGCTCTTTACTTTCATAATCAGCATGGATTCTTGCCTCTTCCCAGTCTTGAAGCACAGGAAAGCTATGGGATGGTAGGATCTATCAATGGCCATGGCTTCCTTGACTTTTCATCAGGTTTTTTATATTCCTCCAACCTTTCTCTGCATTTTCTTCCTAACAAAGATGAACAGTGACTAGGAAACTAAACCATAAAGATGTATAAATCTTTATACGTGTACAGTTTTTTTAATGTTGTTATGCTGGTTTTAAGCTAATTAATTTTCATACTTGTATATAGATTATCAGTGAACAGTTGTGAATTATAAAAATAGATTAATGTATGTTCTGTTAAAAAATTGTGAGGAGAAAGAGCGAGTATCATATTGTATGAAGTATTTAGTTTAACAGCTTTACTTGAGAACCCGTGAGGGTTACTTTTGGAATTTCTATAGAAGTTTACGCTATTGGAAGAGTCTAATCTTTAGGATGTGGTGACTTAAAAGGCATGTTATTTTTGGCTAAATGTACCCTTCCATTAATTAAATAAAAATGTTACTATAATTAGTATTGAATTTGCATTATTTTCCATTAGGTGGAGATATGGCTTTATAAGTATTAAAGTTTTAACTTTGTTTTATTTGAAATACCAATTATAGGGATCTATGTGGGTGGACAAGATAAAGTCTATTTTTTCAACTTCATATAATTTAAAATTTAACTATATATAGTGTAGACATCCACCTCCTTAGAAATGAGTTTGTCACTAGTTAGTATTAGTGAACCTAATGAAGGGTCTCGTGATTGAAAATGTAAACATGCAGAAATTACAATAATTTTCTAGTACTTTGTTGTCAATTAAGAATACGAGAATAAAATTAGTGGAAAATTAGAAGAAATATTATATAATCTAGTTTCCAATTTTGATGCTAGTTTCCAGTTTTGATGCTTATTTTAGGAAACATAATTAGGGTTTGATTTAATAGCTTTTATTACATTGTTTATTTGTATGAAATATTGATTTTGAATTTTTATAAATATTATTAGTTTTCCAACTGAGAGTCCATATTGCCAGCCCCATAGGACCATATTTATACATGCAAAAAATAAATGCTAACACATTGATCTGAAAATTAACAGAAAGAAAACTTTAACTTCTCTGTAATTTAATAAATAGCTGGTTTAGCCCCTAAATAATGGAAGCTATTAACAACACCCCAGTGCCTTACTCTAATTTCACTCAAAACCATTTTCAAAAAATATGCCATTGGTCCAAAACCCTCTAAGTTGATCAATAATTGAGTTCTTGATTAAGTTTGAGCTAGAGGTTATTTGGGACTTTAGAATGGTACACAAAGACCATGTAGTCCCCTTTTGTTGGCTATGTTACAACCTCACATAGAGAATCTCCTTTTTAAGGTAACGGTAGTAGCAAGCACGTAACTGTGTCCAATATGGTTGTTGGATGCATGTGCTCTTGATGCTGGAGGAGAAAAGAATAATATACCGAGTTTGGAAACTATAGATTTATAGTATATAAGTAAAGTTGTTGGTAGAGCAAACGCTATTTTGAGAAGTCAAAAAGAAGAAAAGTACAACCCATTTTCCTCTTCAGTTTTCCTCGTATAAACAAAAAAAGGGGAAAGAAACGAAATATCTTCAATACATCTAGTTATATAAATAACTAGCTATCATGGTGTGTAGAAAGTACGTACAAGATTTAGATATACTATCAGATATTGGATAATATTAAAGAAGAAAAAGCATTAAAATCTTGTTCAAATATATTTAATATAGAAAATCCTGTTATTGTGAAGATGAATCGTATACATTGTAGTAGATATTTTCAAATAAAGTTTTATAACTGTATGCTCTAAGGTGAATCTAATGATATTGGTTTAAGGCATATTTTAAATTTATTATATTTAATTAATAGGTAAGATATTTAACAACATATTTTATAATTGCACTTGAATAAGTCCACATAGTCGATGAAAACATATTTTCATGGAATTTTAGAATATATGAGACATGCATTTCTTTAGCATTAATTTGGTATAGGATTTTGAGAAACCATATCGAGGGTAACTTATAATCAGAAATCTGCGAAGGATTTAGTGGTGGATTTTAGCATGGGATTTATTTCATCAACAATTCTGTTTCTTTTCTCTGTATTTGTTTTTCTTTTCTATTTAACCTGTCTATAATTATGTCGCTGATATATCAATGCTAATGGCAAGTTTTATACTGCATCCCATATTCTACTTCCTAATGTTGCCTTTAATCCAAATAGTGTACACTGTAATTTGTATATTTTTGCCATTGCGTATCTCATTGGATCAATTATTTACTCTTAACTATTGTACTTTGAGAACCAGTAAGGGGTACTTTTGGTATTTCCACTCGTACTTTTGGTAGTGGTAAGCATGTCCAATATGGTTTTTGGATTCAAGTGCTCCTTGACTCCATAGATGTGAAGTGTTTGGTACAGCCAGCACTTTTTGAGAAGAAAAATGCACCCCATGTCCCTCTTCTTTTTCCTTCTCTTCCCAAACTAAAGAGAGAGAAGAAAAACTTTTCAATATGTCTAACTATATATATAACTAGCTAAATATATGCTTTGAGGGAAGTACGTACAAGATGTAATTATATACGTAAAAAATGGACAATATTAATAAAGAAAAAGAAACTAGAATTTTGTTCAAGCATATCCATTATGAAAGGGTTATGTGACAACTATTTTGTGACTGCTTTGAATTGGTTATGATTTTTTTACATTTTCAAAGAATTAAGTTTGATAATGGTCATAGAGACTGACATGGAAAACTGATAGTATTTATGACCATTATAATTACATTTTACGATCCATACATGACGACTCTTTATCCATCGTAGATTTCTGTAACAGAGTTTAGCCAACACATATGGCATTGATTTGCTGTGTTCATTGTACTGATGAGTCCTGTTCCGTTTCTATTTAGGTGGAGGTGGGGTCCTTTTCCTTTCTGGTGATGGGGGAAGGGAATGATAGGGAGAAATTGTTGGCCTAAAACCAGGAAAAGTTAAATTCTTTAATCTTTGAGATTTGAGTGCTCACAACAAAACAAAAAAGAAAGCATGCAGGAGGTTCATACTTCATAGCATCCTCTCATGTATACTTAAGGGCTCCATGCACTAGCAGAACATATTACTCTCAACCTTTTATCATAGTTTTCTAATTACTTTTTCTTCATCTTGTTCTTGCACGAAGCTAGACCTGATAATTTTAGAAATTGTTAATTTACAATGTGGCAAAAGCTTTTCTTATGGGTTGTTTTCCTTTGTTATTTTCAGTTTACTCTCATTCAAGGGCAACTTAAAGTTGGATTTTACTCCCAAACGTGCTCCAATGCTGAGACAATTGTCAATTCTGTTGTCAAAGAAGCTACCCTTTCCAACCTCAGAATTCCCCCGGTGTTACTTAGACTCCATTTCCACGACTGCTTTGTCGAGGTATTTTCTTCCTTCGCCTTTCCCCTATCTCACTCTCTATCTTTATATAGAATATCTGCATATTTTTAAATAAATATAAACAAATAATTATTTTAGTTTGTTTATGATTCTGTGATAGGGCTGTGATGGTTCTATATTGATTGACAAAGTTCCAGATCCTGAGAAAGGTGCAGATGGTCATCAGGGAGTTGATGGATTTGATCAGATACAGAAAGCCAAAGATCAGTTAGAAGCTCAATGTCCTGGAGTTGTATCTTGTGCAGACTTAGTGGCTTTGGCTGCTAGAGATTCCGTTGCCCTGGTAAAAATGAATTCCGCTACATGTACAGAATTTTTGTATCTTCCCTTGATTTGAATCCTGATAAATTCATCGTCAACTACACAAACCCCTTCTTTCCACTTTATTTTTCGATAAACTCAAAGTTGAGACTGCATGAACCCCTCTTTACCACTTCCTTTTTCAGTAAATTCGGAGTGGACTACACTGATCCCTTCTTTGCACTTTATTTCCCAATAAAATCTGAGTTGATTACACAAATCCCTTTTTTCCACTTTATGTTCCGATAAATTCGGAGATGCACGAATCCCTCTTTTGTCCACTTAATTTCGCGATAAATTCAGAGTTGGCTAGTGAGTCCCTTTCATCACTTTATTACCCATAAATTCGGAGTTTGCTACACGAATCCCTTTTGTCCACTTTATCTCCCAATAAATTCAGAGACACTCTTTATTTACTAATATTCAGAGTCGACTATGCAAAGCCCTTTTATCCACTTTATTTCAAATAATTGCTAGATTTACGTGAAATCGGATATTTTACAACATTGAACTTTGACAGAAAATATTTTTGTGTTTTAGGCAGGGGGGCCTTTTTATGAGGTTGAGACTGGGCGGAGAGATGGTAGAGTTTCCAGTAAGCCACTTGCTGATGATATGCCAGACGTGAATGATCCAATTGAAACTCTCAAGTCAAAGTTCAGAAGAAAAGGACTTTCAGAAAGTGAACTTGTTCTATTAAGTGGTGGTATAATTACATTTTCTGATTCCGATATCTTCCTTAATGCATATCTGGCAAAGCTTAAAATATTTACGTATAAGTAACTTTATGAGTTTTTAAGTAACTTTTAAGCTTAGCCAAACTCATGTTAAGTGTTGTCTAGTTCAGTCAAGTCTATCAAATATGCTATTAATGAATTATCATAAACTTGCAGGTGCACATACTATTGGGAAAACTGCTTGTTTCTTCATGTCTAAAAGATTATACAACTTTACAGGAAGGGATGACAGTGATCCTGAAATAAACCCGGTTTTTCTACCAGCGTTGAAAAATCAGTGCCCCAAAAATGGAAATGATTTTGGTCGCATACCGCTAGACCAAGTGAGCGGCGATAAATTTGACGATCAAAGTCTACACAATATCAAGAATGGGATGGCTGTATTAGCTTCAGATGCCCGACTTTACGATGATAATGTTACAAAGAAATTTGTGAAGTCGTATGCAGATTCATCAGGACATAATCGTGCCGCTGGCTCATCATTTGCGAAAAACTTTTCGACAGCAATGGTGAAGATGGGGAGAATTGGTGTCAAGACGGGCGTAAGTGGAGAGATTAGAAGAGTTTGTAACTCTTTTAATTAAAAGTCCCACTAGTCTATTTTGCATTGTATAAGAAAACATCGAAGAAATTAAAATTTCTATAAAAGTTTAATCGGTTTGATCTATTGTGTATCCGTGTTTGGTTACACTTAAAATGTTAGATATGTTATTTCAATTGAGATTCAACTTTAAACTTCTTGTAAATTTAGGCATGTTGTAGTATCAACGGATCGACGTAAGATTTTTCCCTCGGGGGAGGGGAGAATACTTACCACTTTGCACATCCGGTTCTTGAACTCAAATCCTCTTGATATAAGACGGTGTTAACAATTTTTCACGATGGTCGGCTGCTTAATGTGCACTCCCCAGGATGTTGACTCCCATGAGGCCCTCTACGTTCACATAGACCGTCTACCATTACGAGGCCGCCGACCCCCACTATACTTAGCCAAATTAATGGCCGTGAGATAGACGAAAACAACCCAACAACAAACGTGGGCATAACCAACCGCTAGACGAATGTGGGTTAACGCTATAGAACCGAGGGGAGTGGGAAGGTATACGTTGGACACGTGACACAATTAATCATAGAACAAGGACATGCCACCAGGTACCTATAAATACCTCAATGTGGGAAAAAGATATTCCTTCTTGAAATCCGGACTATTTGAATTCCAATACATTCTCTTTCTATTCTCTTAAACCGTATACTAATTCTCACGCCGGAGGTACAACGGGGGAAGGAGCCCCGACCTCATTTTGCAGGTAGCAAACACTGATCGGAGCAGCCGGAACACCATCCACGTCAAGGAGGATACGGAATTTATCTCACTACTATTTCAACTCTGGACTCAGTTGAAAGTGAGTGGGGAGGAAAATTGGCTTTTCAAATAATTGTAATGGAAATATGGAATATTAAAATCATTGAACCAAATCAGTTTATAATTAGATGCCTGTCTTAGGGAATAAAATTATAGATTCCAACTCGATTTTTTTAAAAACAAATTCTAAAATTTGAATAATTCCGTACATTCACTTTGGAAATTTGAATACTTGCTCTATGACGACATATTATAACATATTTCTACGTTGGATTGACTAGCATCTAAACAAGACAAGTTTATCCGCAGTGGTGTTCAAAAGGTGTAATAGCCATAGTTTCCACTCTAGTTAATAGTTCCGTGCAGGATGTATTAATTTAGTTTTGGCCGTCAATAGGCATAGTTTTGGAACGCCATGCTTGAAGTAGGCAAAGTTCGTAATTTTCTAATAGCTTTCTTACTATAGTTCGGAATCACGTTGAAAAGAAAAATATAACACCAATTTCCCTACTATACACAATCCGATATTTTTCTACGACGAGCCGCTTAGCTCTTAAAATTAAGTTCACTTAATACATATTATAGGAGTTGCAAAATAAAAAATCAAAAAGCTAATAAAATTAAGATTAGCAACTTTGAATTAAAAAAAAAAAAAAATCAAGAGTCAAATAAAATGCGTTCATGCAGCCGATGGTTGCAACAATGCACATCGGATAAATAACTAAAAATCTTTAATATAACACACATCGAAGAAGTAACTAAAAATCCATCATTGAAACAATAGTATAAAGTGTAAGGTTTGTCACAATTCCTTATCCGTAATGCAATATCTAATTGTAAAAATACCTTCGACAATTTTACGCAAATATATTACTATTCTTAAGTAAATATTAATTTTATCTCAATTGGGAAATCAAATATTTTAGGTTAATTATTAAAACACAAATTAAAAAAGAAATATTTCCAATAAGCTTACTTATTTTACATCAGAAGCCCGTGCATGTACTAATATACAAGTCCCTGAAAATGATCTTATCGTTGTAAACAAATCCCTAATTTTTCTGCAGACTGAAAAAATGGCACCCAAGCGGAGAAGTCAGAAATTGTACCTGCCGGAAGAAGTTTGGGTGGAGATCCTCTCAAGGCTCCCTGTGAAAACCCTTCTTCGATTCAAGTGCGTATGTAGCCAATGGCGGACCATAATCTCATCTCCTTCCTTCGCCTCTTTGCACCTCAGCCACTCAATTTCGAATCCAACAAGGCATTCCATCCTTGTTTTTGATCAATACGAAGACCAATTTATGTCCTTCGATCCTGTCACCTTTTCTCCAATCAAAAATTTCAATGCTGGGCTGGATCGGGCCAACTGTTTTGGCTCTGAAATTATGTGTGTGGGCTCAACCAATGGCGTTCTCTGCATAATTGATGAATCAGGTAGGATCTGGCTATGGAATCCTTCCACCAGACAGTACAGGAAACTCCCACCTGGTATAAATGATCGTTCAACTTTTCTTTCCATGGGGTTTGGTCGCGATCCCGTTTCTAATGATTACAAGGTTGTAATCATTGGGTTTAGATATATAAGAGAAGGGGAACATGGAACCTGGGTTGAGGTGTGGTCGTCCAATTTAGAGTCTTGGAGGGAGATTAAAGTTGATTACTGTTTTCGCTGGGGGATATCAGTTTGTGATGTGATAGTGGAGGGGTCTGTTCACTGGTTTGTCATGGATGCTTCCAGGGGGAGTAGAGGAAGAATGTTAGTTGCTTCATTTGACATGAGAACTGAGGAACTAGGGGTGATTCCGTTGCCTGAATCCAAGCACAATTATATATTTTCTGGATTCAATTGGAATGAAAAATTTGCTTTGACAACATGTGATAACCATCGGAAGTACAGGAGAATATATCAAGTGTGGACGATAGAAAGGGATAGTGTTGGGAAGGAATCTTGGAGTAAGAAATTTACATTTGAACTTAATGTTGGAAGCGTTGCACAATGTCGATCCATGCTAAACGCTGTAAATGGAAAAGTGGTACTGGATAAAAGTGGGAAACTGATCTTTTATGATGTAGAAACCAGAAAAATGAAGACAGTTGGAACTCATGAAGATGAATTCTTCCCACTTGGGGCTTATTCTTACGTGGAGAGCTTAGTCTCAATCAAGGGGTTTAATCCCCTCGGAGAAGACGCAAAAGAAGATGTAGTCAACGAGAACTAAATCAAGGTTATGTTGCAAATGAAATCTAACTTAAGTGTCTTAAATAAGAAATTGTTGGGTTCATGTCCATTCTTAGCTTTTGAGCTTGTAGGTATAGTTTCATATCCTGTTATAGAAATGTGACATGTTTACATGGTTATATCATATATGACATGTTATGAGCCACCTAAAGCATATTGCTTCGTATGTTTGAGTTGCAGGAAACTTTTGGTATTTAATTTGTGTTCTATACTATTCTTTATGCGTGGAGAGAAGTTTTATATAATTCTTCATGAGTAAAAGTTATATATGGATCATGCAAATGAAATGATTTGCTTAAAAATATGTTAATGCATCGGAGCCATAATTTTCACATATTTGGCATTTTTGAATGCAACGAGCCTAATGAATTGTAATGGCTTATTTCATGTCAGCAGCTATTTAAACGATATATAGCTTGATTTGCAACATCTTCTTTCTTATATCCAAAGCTATCATATATTTCTAATTCTTGTAAGTTGATAGGTGCATTGTTAGATAGATATATTTTAATGAAACTTGAAGCAAAACTATTGTTGGAGATGGTATTTTTGCTGTTAATTGCAGGTGTTTGATGTAATGAATATTTCTTGTTCTCTTATTTTGATATAATGAATATTGCTATGTTATATTGAATATTGTTCTTTCTTTTAAATCAGAAGGTCGGATTCCCTTGTTTATGGATAATAATTTGTGTAGACCATTCTCTGGTGGATCCAGAACCGTCGTGATTATTGGGAGTGTGTGGGGGTACTTATCATGCCCGTTTTGCTAGCTGTGCATAAAGAAAATGAGGCTTAGAAGCTTGGTGACAAGTGCGAGAAGTAAAATAATTCAGAGGAAAATAAAACTTGTTCCCTTATTTGTGTAATTCAATAAGATGGATTATATAAAGGTTTCGTTTTGCAACAATCTGCAATGCTGAAAGCATTTAATAAGGATTGCTTTTCTGGAGGTAAATATATCGAATATTGTTTATCAGGGGTAGAAAATACATGAGATGTGACTGTTTGAAATAAGGGTTTTACACCATGTTTTCAACATTCATTCAAAACAGACACTGACCGAGGAAGCAATCTGAATTGGAAAAGATATGCATGCTTTTGCTGTTTTGCAGCTGGTGAGATCTGAAACTGGGGAAATTTTCAGTGCTTTTGCTAGCCTATAGCTTGTATATAGTTGGTGTTTCAAGGTTAGTTCCGAGAAGTTTGTGATGCTTGAACAATAGCTAATTTCAATTAAGATCTATTGCAAAGTGTTTTTTAGCTTTCTTTTGCCTCTTTTTAACAGCCCTAAAGCTAGGAAGCCTTGCACACTTTTCACATAAACCTTCCAAAATACTTGATAGAGAAATGTCAATGAAACTAACCATATTCAGCAGCTTACAAACAAGAGAAAATAGTTCGAAAGACACTCCTGGATATGAACTAACGAAGTGAATATCGCCACATATGATTTAGTTATTGACATACTAATTTTTTTGTGAGTAACCATTATTATATAGACGAGTTTTTTTTATTATCTCTCTATTTCTTTTTTTGACATCGAGGATGTAGAAATAGAAAAATATACGATGATTGAGTGGAGAGTAATAAACAAGCGTTCCACATGGATTTCCTACCTTAATTTGTTCATGGACAACAGAACTCTTCCTTTTTCGTTATTGACTAAATGGAGGACTAAAGTAGACCAATATGATGAGGAGAACATTGTAATTACTCCTCAGTCCTCACAGATCCTCGAAAAAAACAGTTTGTCTGATTTACAGAGGTAATTTCCACAGGTTGTTAGCTTCACAAATTGACGAGTTATGTAAGTAGACTTCTCTATGTAAATAAATTATTTGGCTAGATTTTATTTATGATATGAACTCTCAGGCTTTGAAGTAATCTTATTTTGTTCTTTCTGAATTAAGGAAGATACACCCCAATATTCATGAATAACGGTACTGTTATCCGATAACGATGTTGATAAATGATAATTGATTTTTGTGAGCTAAACCTGGAATTATCTCCACTACAATACATGAAAACCTTGATTTTTGGAGGTTTTCATATTGATAATATTTAGACGCTTATACTCACCATCTCATTCTCGGGAATACTCACCTTGAATTTTGGAGATGTACATATTGATAATATTTAGTTATTTCATTCTAAAAAGTTGTTCATCAACGTCAACTCATCGTCACATATAAAATAGACAAAGATTTAACAATACTAAGAGATAAAGTGCTAGTTCATTGAATCACGTTGATTCACGTAGAATGTCGGAAATAGATTCATCAAAAGTTCGTTGGTTCAAGATTATAAAAAAAGAATTATAGGTCTATTTATTCCTCGAATATTCTATTTTATGAACTAAGGTCAAATATACTTATTGCATCGTTCCCATCGGATCGAAAGAGATTCATCCTCGAATCTTAATTGTGAAGTAGAATCACTTATTTTGCTTACCCGCTCATAATAATTGTGCCCTATGGGGGGTTGACATTAGTACTAGTGAGGTGAACATACATTGTACGTTAGTTGGTTAATGTTAAAAATAAGTATACGTAAATTTGAGAGAAATTCATTTGTAAATGTGAAAGATTTTGATAAGTTGGTTACAATGGATTTACTCTTGCATGTATTTTATTTTTATATTTTTGATTATTCGTACAAACATGTTGTATTCATTTAAATTTATTCCTCTTTTCCTTCGACTGTACCACATAAATATTTCATTACTTGTAAGAATGAACATACACGGTGAAAATAGTCCATCATTTGCAAGTTCAATTAATCAATTTAAACTTTATAACATGAATTTTTTGTCACGTCAACTTATATTTAGTAATGTCAAAATTTACTACATAAAACCATTTTGATCCATCCAACATATTTACAGAAAGATTTAATGGAACAAAATCTTTTTATCTTATATCAATTTTGATAAACCTTGCCATTCTTATAACCAATTCTAACCAGACATATTTGTCGTGATCAAAACCATTAGAAGATGCATAGTTTTTCTTATCCTCATATCCTTTTAAACGAAACAATGGGCAAAAAGGATGTTGCAATCAACAAAAATGATTCTCAAATCAGGAAAAAAATAACGTAAGTTTGGTCTATGTATATTGAGAGAGTTTTCAAAGTATAAAAAAATACCGGGAAACGAACTATGACTACATAAATTTATGGTTCTACCCCACAAGCCAACTACTTTAAAACAAGTTGAACTATTTATCTCAACCATGAGCACACCTGGCATAATTGGCCTCTTAGGGAAATATGTGAGAATAAATTATCATGTGTAGTCACATTCTTGATAGCCACAGCCGACAGCCAAGGATTGTACTCACCCACTCTATCTACCAGGAAAAATAGAAATACAAATTGCATATGGAGAGAATTGGAAATCGCTATTTTTGGGTTTTTGCAGGAGGATGAGATGATAGAAAATCTGAAGGAGGGTGTAAAAGTAAAACGTTGCAACCTATCGCGTGAGAGTAGATTTTTGCACCGGACATAGCATTTAATTTAGACAGTGCATGGATGTTGCGTGAAAAAGGATTTTCTTTTGTATGTACATAATGAATACGATGTCGTATTGGGGTTTGAACTTAAAAAAATAAAAAAGCATGCTGATGTCAGCAGAAAAAGTTCGAACACAAAAAAAGAAGACAAGACTTTTTTTGTGTTCGAAGACAAATAGCATAGTCCTTCATCAATTTGCTTCTATTTATTCCAATTACTTTTGATTTACTGTAATTGGAATAAATAGAAGCAAATTGATGAAGGACTATACTATTTGTACACCGGGGTGTACAAATAGCATTTTCCATTGATGAATTTCTTACTAACGGCGTGTACGAGAGCATAGTAAGATGGCCGGCGAAGGTTGTCGAAGATTTTTAGCTTTTTGAACAAAACCAAATAAAATTAGGGTTCAAAATCGCTACCCACGGTAAAAACAAGCATGAGAAGAGTCAATAGTTGTGGATATGAGTGAAAAGGCCATATTACCCTTTCGCTTGTCCAGTTGAAAATTAATAGTATAGGATGGATAAGGGAAATAGAAAAAAAAAAATGAGGTTGATGATTGGAGGTGTTGACAGTGTCCAATATGAATAGTGGCTTATGTTAGGTGATATGCTATATATAATTCATTTTTGTTTTCCACTTTCAACCAGTATTTTAAGCGCCTAAGTTTTTTAGTTTCACATGTGACCAAGTAATCTTGATCTACTTAGAGGGAAACAGCCATTGCAAAGCCAAGATTATGAAGAAAAATAGACGTCTCCTTCAATGAAGTTTGAAACGCTGCTCATCTCAAGGTGCCAATTATGGGGGCCAAATTTTCGTACAACCTGCCAGCTTTATAATAATCCTTTACAAGAAGTAAATGTACCTTTTTTTGTTTATTAGAACATCAACTCTTTCCAACTTGCACCAATAATTTAGTTTGTAAAAATTATTTATTCACTTCTAAATAAAATTTAAGCTACAACAAACGAACATACAACTCTCTCCCGCTCAAATTTATTTCTTCATTTTCACGTTAAGTTCAACGAGAGAAGAATTTATGAATTTATTGCGATGTCTCAATACGAGAAGACGGTGGACGGAAGGAAGCGGCAGAGATCGCCGGCTGTAGACAATGAGGAAGATGATGATCACGAGGAGAGCAGCGGTTGTAATCGGTCGGATATTCAAGGTTTGTCTAGGTTTTCACATGGCCATGACGAATAAGAAGAAGCTGAGTTTTAAGTGTTTTCTTCTTATTTCTTGTAATCTATTTCTTTCTTTTTGTTCTATAATCCGTGTCGCGGAATTTAACACCAAGAACTTTGAATCGTGCAAACCCAACAAACCGCATATACAAACTTCATTGTTACTGGAGCTGAAATACCTGAGGAAGAGGACGCACGGATTCATTACGAGGACAATGAGGAGGGGACAAATGTAGAACAGCAAGCTCCTTTGCCATCTGTCGGGGATCCAAAATTTTGGGCGGTAAAATCTGCGGTATGCTAATAGAAGGCTTTTGAAATATTATTGCATCTTTGAGAAAATGACTTTAGATTTATTTACCTTCTCATAATCATACTTTGTTTATTCGATTGCATTATACATTTTTTGGCTTCCCGTTTGTGGTTTGTAGATTGGCCATGAAAGGGAGGCAATGGTTCACCTAATGCAGAAGTGCATCGAAAAGGGACATGAATTGCAGATTAGATCTGTTATATCACTTTATCATCTCAAGAACTATATATACATTAAAGCAGACAAAGAGGTCCATGTGAGGGAGGTAAGAAATCGCAAATGCATGCCTATATTGTTAGAATGCTTATGTGATTTATACACTATCCATGTAATCAAGTGGTTGAAAGAATTTAATGAATTATTTCATTTCGTTATACTGTGGGCTGTCAAGGGTGTAAGGAATTTACATCCCAGGAGAGTAATTGTTGGAATATTAACTCGGCCTCCAGTTCATCAGCTCATCTGATCACCAGCAACCAGCAGCTTCAACAGCAAGACCAGCAACGCACGTTCTTCAGCAAAGCACAGCAGCAACACAGCAGAATCTGGAGATAAAATGCTGCTGCCTTCAACTATAATTCCCGCCTGAATTCAGCTGATTCTAGCTTATTCTAGATACTTCCTTAGTTTGTTATCTTGTTAGTTTGTTAGATAATTGGTTAACTATTTTCTCTATAAATAGAATAGATTGCCTTGTAATTTCCTTAAGCTTGAATGAATGAAAGTTCTTCATCTTCCCTGCATCCAGCAGGCCTATCCATTCTTCTCTGTCTATTATTTTAGTTCCTTTAATTTCAGCTTCGAATCTCAGATCCCTCCTTGATTTTATCAGTAATGCTGGTTGACTGGTTCCGATCGAGGAGATGACACATGTTCTTTCAGTGGTTAGCAAAGCAATTGATGTTTCAAGGGATACTTGGGTTAGAATGAAGACTGGAACTTATAAAGGAGCTCTTGCAAAGGTAATTATTTTGTCGCTGAATCCCGTCCCTTTTTATTGTCTTATTGACACCTATTTCTCTGTTTCAAGGTTTTGGATGTTGATAATTTGTAGCAGAGAGTTACTGTGAAATTAATTCCAAGAATTGACTTGCAGGCGCTGGCTAACAAATCGGTTGTTTCTAATATTTACTCTTTTGTAGTTGTGATATTATTTATCTACTTTTTGGGTATTTCAAGCTTTATATATATGCCTTTTTGTTTTTGTTTTCTCTATAAAAATGGATTCAATTAGTAATTTATGAGATTGTCATTTTCATGTATCATGGGCAAGAGATAATTTCAAGTAACATCTTCTGATGCAAATGTCTGAAGATCTTTGTAATGATAGAACACCTGAATTTTAGGATGATCAGTATAATTTAGATGGCTTAGACAGAATTGCACTGACAATCTACATTGGCATTGTATCAGGAAGTGAGGGAAGTTACAGAGACAAACCATATTCCTCCTGCATGTTTGTTGAATGTCAATGAAGCTAGGTAATGTTGTTTTAATCATATTGCTTTGAATCAAATTTCAATTTACCTTATTTAGCCAAAAAAAAATATTTTTCCTCGTCTAGAGATTGCACATTCGTGTATATCGTATACGAGATCAAGCTGCTGGCGACTACCGTGAACGCATTGGGGACATGATGTTCAAAGATGGTTTCCTGTGCAAAACAGTGTCAATGAAGTTAATAAGTACTCTGAATGTACAGCCAACCTTTGATGAACTTGAGAAATTTAGGCATCCTGTTGAAACAGGGGATGGTGATACATCTAATCTATCAACTCTGTTTCAAATTAGAAAAAAAAAAAGTTATTTCAAGAATGGAGATAGAGTTATGGTTTTCATTGGTGAAATGAAAAATTTGAAGGATAGGGTAGAGACAATAGAAGGAGATAGAAAAAAAAAAAGTTATTTCAAGAATGGAGATAGAGTTATGGTTTTCATTGGTGAAATGAAAAATTTGAAGGATAGGGTAGAGACAATAGAAGGAGATCAAGTGCATATAAAAACCCGACGAAAAGGGTCTTCCGGTAAGTGAAAAGTACACATCTAGTTTTGTGTTATTTTAATGGAGTTTCTATTCTTCATTAAGAAACTAATTTATCTCTCTTGTTAATTTACAATTTGATTTGTAGGAAATTCTAGCTTTTAGCCACAGAGAACTTTCCAAGTACTTTGAACCTGGAAATCATGTGAAAGTTGTGTCAGGAGCTTCAGAGGGCGCAACTGGAGTTGTGGTTTCAGTGGAGGGGCATGTTGTTAGAAATGTGTCAGATACCACCAAGGACCTTGTATATCAATCATCCTTTTCAAGTTTTTCAAGTCGTTCATGTTAACTAAATTCGATGATATTTTATCCTTCTAACATTTTCAGCTCTGGGTATTTTCCGACAATGTTGTGGAAAGTTCTGAGGTATCATCTGGTATCACACGAATTGGAGATTATGAGCTTCATGACCTCGTCTTCATGGGGTAAAATTTTCTTCATTTAGGCAATTTATGATCGTCATACGCTCGTACTCATTTTTGGGATTGATCAATATTAACTTAGGTAAGCTGTTATCAATTTTCTTGGTGCAGTGATAATAGTTTTGGGGTGATTATAAGTGTTGAGAATGAAGCTTTTCAGGCGAGCAGCCTAAAATTAGAAGGCGAAAGTGAGTGCGCGAAATTCTAAACTTGTTTTTCACTCATTAGGTCCTTAAGGGGATGCCAGAGAGACCGGATCTTGAACTTGTGATGCTAAGAGAGATCAAATACAAGATTGACAAGAAACATTCTGCAAAGATCGGTACAACAACATATTATCAGTGAATGACATAGTGGAAATTCTGGATGATCCATTCAAGGTTTGTACTCAACTCTTCTTTCAGTTCTTTGTTTATATTCTACTATTTGATTGAGTTATCAATTTTGTACCTCAATCGATCCATTTGTTGTTGTCACGCTGTAGGGTAAACAAGTTCTAATTGAGCATATCTACCAAGGAATTTTGTTTATTCATGATCGTCGTCAACTTGAGCATGCTGGCTTCATTTGTGTAACTCTGAATCTTGTATGATGGTTATCTGATCACGTGCAAACTGGGGGATGCGACAGAAAAGGATCGAGTCTCAGTTGTTACCATATTCAGTTTTGATCATTCAATAGGTGGCCTCACTATTCCATGAAAAGAGGATATATTCATTGATCTCACATCTCACAACGAGTAGTAGTTGTTTGTAGAAAACAATTGCGTAAAAAAAGATACTTTGTCTGGCCTTTCTCTGCACAGAAGAGATTGCTAGGCGAAAAATGACTTCCTGATGCACTTGTACACGTCTTTTCCATCGTTGATTTCAGATGTAAAAGTATCATCTGTTAATAGAAACTTGTATACTGAAGAACTTATGAAATAGGAACAGTTGACTCTTTTTCTTTCTAGGTCACTCAGTTTTTCACAGCCATTTTTTGTATCAGCACAGTGAAACTTATTTACCACTGGTGAAGTGCCTTTGGCTTGTCTTAATCAAATATTTGACAAATCATCTTAGCCCAAAAATCTGAATGCTTTACAATGTTGCACTTTTAATTTTTGATAAAAAAAAATTAAACCACCACATGGGTGGAAATTCATTGATACGGTGTGAATTGTCATGAATATGCATGTATCAAGTAAGGCTCCTTTGGACACTCGACGTTTCATCACCTTACTTAACCATCTCTAGGAAGATCAGCATGTGAAATGCTGCTTCCAGGCTAATAAATCGATTAGTTTTTTTTTTTGATAAATGAGATTTCGAGCTTGAGTTCGGGTCTTTTCAATTTCAAAAGATTTTGGTAACTTCCAGAAAAGATAAAAATGGAAACTCAATAGTAGGTTTCGGACAGAGAAGACTGTGTAATTGGCGGTTGTTAGAATGGTAAAAATCTATTCTTCGGTCATTAGAGAACACTGCAAATTGAAAAGAAAGACGTTCATATTTGTTGATGAAGTCAATTTTTTTAGTAGTGATACATAATTGTAAACGTCTAACTTGTAGTAAAACCCATAAAACATTCCATCGGTGATAATGGGGATGATCTCCATCGGCGAATTTTTTTCGACGAAGCCACGTTTTGTCAGTAATGATACATAATTTTAAACATCTAATCCGCATGTAATTTGCAGAAAATTCTCTCAATGAATTCGATCGATGAAGTCCATTTGTGAAGCCACGCTTTTTTAAGGATACATAATTGTAAACATCTATTCCTTAAAAAAAATTGTTAGCAATACCGATCAATGACGTCAATCAATGATTTTTCTTTTATGAAGTTGTTATGTTTTGATACCTAATAGATTTTGGGCGATGATGTTAAATGATCGGATTATATTCCACAAGCCTCGACTGATGGGTGAATTGATTACCAACAACCAAGTCCAAAAGTCCGATCCAAAAATAATATGGACCGTTGGAAGTAACTTTAGAAATCAATGTTACTCACGGCCCATATATTCACATATTCGATGTCTCTTTAGTCTTTTTAGTAGTATTTGTTATGGGAATATTGCATATTCAAGAGTATAAGTTTAGTCTATTTCAAAAATAAGAACACAAGTTTAAAATTACCAAAATCAGATTTTTTTAAATTTTTATTTATGAAATAATAAATTATTAAATTAATAAATTATTAAATATTTAATTCTAATATAATATAATTAACCCATCCCANATAATATAATTAACACATCCCACATTTACCACCCCTACTACTCCGGCGATCGTTCCGATCACCGCCCTACTCCGACGAACTTTCCGACGATCGTTCCGGCGACCGTTCCGACGTCGATTTTTCCGACGACTGCTCCGATATATTTTTTTGTACGATTAACATGTTTTTTTTACGGTCACAACCCAAGTCACAAGTCACAGCTCATGTCACTAGTCACAGCTTAGGTCACAAGTCAAGAGTCACAGCCCATATCACAAGTCCTAACTCAGGTCACAAGTCATAAGTGAAGAGTCACAGCCCAAATCACAAGTCACAAATCAAGTCACAGGCCAGGTCAAAAATCACAAATCAAGAATTTTTTACTTCACAAATTAATTTAGTCAGTCACATATTATTTCACCACCACGACACAGTTGTTAAACACCACCGCACGCCTCCACCTCCGCCTCAACCTCCACCTCCACCTCACCACCAGAAATCTTCGTTCCTACCACACACCTCCACTGCCACCAGTCATCACCACCACCGCCGCCACGACACCGCATAACTCCACCTCCAACTCCACTGCCACCACCAGCCACTACTTCACAAAACAACCACATCGCACCGCACACATCAATCACCACCGCAATGTCAATCACTACCACTCAAAAATGAGGAAAAAATAATGGATCTGCACTCCCGAGTCCCGAATTATAGCTGATGCCGAATAATTGATTTGCACAGCCGAATAATATTCAAATCGCCGCTGCGACGGAGCCGACGTTCAAATCGCGCGACACTCACATCAAGCAGGTTTCTGTAGTGGCTGGCAGCGATGACCGTCTTGAGCGGTGGTGCGGCGTCTTCGCAACGGTCGCGACGCTGCTTCAGAGCGACGCAGCCTTAGAGAGGTGGTGGTGTCGTCCTTGCAACAATCCGACAGTGGGTGTTGCATTTCATACCCGCGACGGCGGTTATAGTGGCTGGGGAGGTAGCGTAGGGGAGAGAGAAGGAGAAAACACAGTTTTGGCCTTTGGGGGGGAATTAATTAGGGTTGGGATAAAAATTGTTTAATTAATATTTAATATATAAATATAAAATATCTGATTTTGATAATTTTAAACTTCCAATCTGATTTTAGAAGTTTAAAAACTTAAAGTATGATTTCGTGTAATTACCACATTTGTTATACATGTGCCTATTATAGGGGGCGGAGCCACCTTAAGTCCAATGCACTTGCCTGCATTGAACTTTAGGCCCCTGGAAATTTTAAGTAAGAGACATATAGAATATAGAGAGAGGAAGGTAAGAGGGATGGACACTGAAAATGCTGCAAGAAAAATGAGTGGGACTGCTGAGAAATGAGTGGAACTACTCCACCAAATTAAGCAAATTATTCCACCACTGAACACATTCGTCGTCTTTTTTGGAGATTGCTTGCGTGAATTTTCATTTGACGAAATATCTGGTTCAAATGCTGTGATTTTTATGAACAAAATTTGTCTATTAATTCTTGAGATAGTTCGAGGTCGAGGTTTCAAGATATTGCTTTTTGTGGTTTTCTATGATTCACCCTCCCTTCTTTTAGAGCACATACATTCTTGTGTAGGTGGGTGTTCCAGAAGACTTTTTCACTTCATTAAAAGAAAAGTTTTTAAGAAATCATGATTCTTGAGGGAATTTTGAGGCTGTTAATTCTCAATTTCTTTCGATTTTGGGATTTTTGAATCAAATACTGTTGGTCCCAGACTTAGAGCTTGTTTGATAGAGATTAAAATTGGATTAAAATTAAAAAACTAACCGTTATTGTTGACTTTTATTAGACGAGTGAGACCCAATAACTGCTATATTTTCAATTTTAATTGGATTTTAATTCCTTTCAAACAAGCTCTTAATTAAAACTTGACGACTCAACGCTTTAAAACAAAAGAACACGAACAAAATAACAAGAAAGTAAAAGAACACGAAGAATTTTTAGCCGAAGGCTCTGGAGGTTCGGAGATCACTATCTAACGCCTAATCCCCCTTTAGAATTAAGCTCGAATCCACTGGCACCATCCAAAATAGGCGAAGTTTTGATTACAAGAATACAAAGCTCTCAGATCTCTCACAACTTACAAAAACCTGTCAAGACAATGTAATCTCACATAAGAGAAACACTGATATTTTTCTCCCTTACAATAACACTAAGGGTGTGTTTGATAGCTTAGAAAATTAGGTGGAAAAAGAAAATGTTTTCCAACTTCACCCAATTAATGGTGTTTGATTGCAAAAGTTTTCTTGGCTTTTGTTTTTCCTACATTTTCTAGATACAACCATTTTATGCACATTTTTTTGAATTTATTTTCCCACCTATGAGGTGGGAAAGCAATTTCCATCTTTCTTTTTTTTTTT